TTCTAGTAGGCAGAATCCACGGACATTTTCTAGCTGACATAATAATTAGTGTAATTAAAAATATCGAAATATATTTCCCAATCTACTGTGTCCTCAGTCTCTTTGATGGGCCAGGCTGCGACTCTGAATATTAGTCCCCAAGCCAGCGACCTTTTTTCGAACTGATTACAAAAGTCATGAAAACGGTCTGGATCGCTTCGTTTTAACGAGTCTACCACGCTGTAAAATTTTTAGAATATGGGAAGGGCGCTTTTCCGCATTGCTTTTTTATTTGAATTAAAAGAAAATGTGTTAAATAAGAAGCAAATTGAGTTGTCCGACAAAATAGAGGGCGCAATTGTCGAGTCCGACATCTCTGACATGTCGCTCTAGCGCGGTATGGTTTTCCGATTACAAAACATCCAATTTTCATTTTAACTTACTAAATATTGCCTAAAAAACGTAGTCCGACAAATTTTCAGGCGCTTTTTTCCAGTTCGACAACCGAAATATGTCGCTCATCGCAGGTTAGGTTTTCCGATTACAAAATTTCGGACACAAATACCAAGTACTAAAATAGTAGTTTCTTTATCAAAATATGACATTGTCCGACAAAAATAGTGGATCATATTGCTAATCCGACAAAAAAAACGATTAATTTTATTACATATTAAACATTATATTGCATCTTATGACAAATATTCACTTTTAAGTTTGTAATTCAGAAAATAGTATATTTAGGACGCAAAGACATATAAAGTCTTAATAAAGGCAAAGCAGAGAACTCTTTTTCATCCGATATCTTCATATTCAAAAGTTCCTGACTTCTGCATCCTCCAAAATAACACATAATCAAAACAACCTAAAATAAAAAAAGGAAATAAATACACACAGAAAGGAAAATAAGAAAAAAATTACCTTATGCAATAAATGAATTTCATTAGGAGCGTTCTTTAGAAATCTGATAACATCATTAGGAGATAAAACAGCAGACTTTTTCGGCTTATAACTCTTACTCTTCCGTTTCAAAAAAGCCTCTAGTTCATTGAACTTGGCGATATCTCGTTTCTCATGTATATTCACCTTCGATTTTAGCATTGACCATTTAGTTCATAAAGAATTCGGACAATACGTTTCTGACTGCAACGAATAAACAAAATTACTACCAAATCTACCGAAAAACATAGAATATTCCTTACCAATTCTTGAAAATATGCCAGTAATACAGTTTCAGTGGCATCTTTTGGCATAACATTATTCCGTGTCAGCCACTCCAGATATATCTTGTATTCTTTTTGGTATACGGCTTCACTTTTCGATGGAATTAATGATTCTCTTGCTTTTTCAGCTTTTTTCAAAATCTGCTCCATTATATTTGGGGTAGAAAACACGTTTTTAACGCAAACACAGCTTGATAACAAAGTACTGTTTATAAGCAAGTAACAATTCTGTTTATAAACACGTAACATAGCAACAACCTAGCAACAACAAAACTCTTATAATCAATGGTACCTGATTCAAATATACTGGGAAGGTAATAAATTGGTACATTTTTTCCGTTTTAAAAATAAACAATATTTTATTGAAATCGGTCAGAAATAAAATTATCTATGTACCACGGGAATTAATGAGCCTTAATAACCTCAGGCAATTGCTGTCCCTCGGGCGGGACGCCCTCGGGACGCAAACTTTGCCATCGGTAATTAAGGCCCTTATAATTCCCTAGGTACATAAATAACTATT